TTCCATGTATCGCATTCTAGTACTCTTTGCTGAATGTAAAAAATAACATGCGTAGGAGTAGTACCGTTGTAACGCTTGAAGGCATACTTGTCATTGAAAAAAAGTGGTTTGTGTCGATATATATAGGAAACATTTTCTTATGTTTATTCACCAACTTTCGATTTCGCAAATTATTATGTTTATTATGCTCATTATCAAAATAAACGTTGTTAAATTGTTACATTATATCTTAACCAAGTTTGTATTACTTGAAATCTTGTACTAGAATACGTTTAAGCAATATATATATATATATATCTTCAAAGTCAATTGTAATGCAGTTGATGCATTTGAAATTTATAACAGCTTTATATAACTTGAAATATGTTTGTACCAGTAACATTTTCAACGCCATGATGCACAACATTGAACGTGTTGTATACGTTCTATCGTTCACATTTCTACATGTCGCAAATTTGAAGTTTTACATTTCTATATACAGTTTGCATGTTAACAGCTTCCATTTAAATAAATCGAGATAATCATAACGCTTAATACCATTGCAGTATGTAACTCTTGGATCAACAATTAGATTTTTACTAAATATAAATCTGTTTAGTAGAACCGAAGTATGGATTGTCAAGTTTCAAAGGCTGGATTTTTGGCAACGAATAGCCTCCATACATTTCTTGCTCACCCACTTGTCCCGAAGGAAGGCAAAAATACCTTCACCCAATGAAAAGTACTTTTTATATTGAAACATTTGCATACGAATTCAAAGAAAAGTAAAAGGGAAAGAAATAGAATGAACTTGTATCATAGTTCGTGGATTTTTCTGTTAAAAATTTGTCAGAGTTAAATCGTATACTTATACATGCATAGTGCGTTAACTGGAGTGCAGATATTAGATACCCGCACTTCAGAGGATTTCCATTGATTGGTTCATTTTTGCTGGGGGTTTACTTATTGTGACGGCAGTGAAAGGGAAAGCGAAAGAAGTATCATATTCAGATGCTCGTTCATGGCTTACTTTTTTCTGGGGTTTCATATTGTGACAAAGGGGAACGTGTTTATATGTTTTGACTATGATACAAAAGAGAATGAATATCAAAACACTCGGCAGTCTGATTAATACTCGGGGGCTACGCCCCCTCGTACAAATCAGATAGCCTCGTGTTTCAATGCCCTTATCGTACTTTACTATGTATAATTTCTGTTGTTTATCTATTACAATTATCGTATAAAATTACCCCACCCACTTTCACAAACTAAAAACCCTACAGATTAAATGATTTCCTTACACTTTTACAATACAAACATCATATTAATGGAATAACAAATACAATTTTAGATACAAAGTACTGTTTTAACTTTAACTTTGTACATTTATTTAGAAAATCAAATTTGAAAAATATGCAAAAATTGGAATTTTTTCTTGATCTTTTTTTAAAAATATATTTTAGATAAAATCTTTTAAAATGTTTAGTTTTATTTAGATTAACATATAATTTGATTATTTCTGATATGTTTAAACACTTGTTTATCATAAAAAAAATATTTTTTCAACAAATTATACTATAAAAATGATAATAGTTTTGCAAAAATCGAGGGCCCAAGGACCCATTTTAGTTTTGGAAAGGATAAAAAGGGGAATTTTGTAAATTTTAAATTTTTTAAAAGGAGAAATTATAATTTTTGTTGTTTTTTTTATATTTAAAAAAAAGGGAAAATGAAAAATAATTACGTCAAATGAAATGGCGGTAATCTTGTAAATGGCGGCCATCTTGAATGAGCAGAGATATTTTAAGACCCACTTCAATTTTGAAATCTACATGGTCTAAAGGTCATTTCCTAAAAGTTTCATGTTTGTATTACCATTTGCACTATTTTTTTCAATGTTCCGCCAAACTTAGGTAAAATTATATAAATATACGAAATAAGGCGTTAAAGTATATATTAAACGACCGTCACAAAAAATTGTCGTTTTAAAACGAATTGAATAACAATTGCCATCGTTTCAAATCGGAAACGAAAGAAACAGTTTTCCGGTCGTAATATTAACTGTTGCATAATTTGTCAGAGCAATAACATATCACAACACCGTATTTGCACAGTTTTGTCATGTGCTCAGAGTGACTTCCCATCCAGAAAATCAAATCGAAAGTGAAGTCGGAACGAGCGAAAATATGACAGGCAGCTATACAGACCGGATAAATCGAATGATGAAATCGTGCGTGGAATTGAGTTTGAGTTAAATGTCATCGTTTGTAGTCGGAAAAAAAATCGTGAAACATAGTGGACTAAAGATGACTAAAACATACTTCAGGAAAACCGAGCCTTTCATTGCTGATGGTTTAGACTTGTATAATCTGATGCTTAATAAAATACATGTAGTACCACACTAATTAAGACCCTCCGACAAAAAAGGAATAATAATAATAATAATTTAAAAATTCCTAGATCTCTAAAAAAACTTATTGAATTTGAAATAGGGTAGTGTAAAAACTAATTGCTGAAGAAATCAAGAATTTTTAAACAAAATTCAACCGGAATATGACGTTTTGAAAGTTGCTCACAGAAATGTGTTATGAACAATATTAAAATATAAGACAAAGCTTCTTTTATGGCAAATTCACTTGCATAGTCATACCCCAGAGCAGACCGCAATTTGTCCCCACAAAATACAAAAACAAAACACATACAACCTTTTTTTAAAAAAACACCGTGTTAAGAAACTGAATACATCATAACGTACATTTTTGAAATTTTATAAAGAGTTTTTATTTTGAGGAAACAAAAAAAACCCCTCGGTCTCAATTTCAAGAAATTTTAAAAGAGAGACCACTTTTTAAAGACCACTTTTTGGCAGCCTTATAGTTCTTTAAACAAAGCGAATGAAAAAAATAAGGGAGGCTAGAGAAAACCTTGGGGACAAAAAAGAAGGCAAATCAATTAACTGTCCAGTTTTTCCTTTGCCAGAAAGACAATCCCTTAAGTTTCTCCCTTTAACAAAAAATGCAGCTTACATTTGTTTTTTTTTTGGTTTTTAGTCAAACGTTTGAGAAATTTAGAATAAAGGTAATTTACTTCTTAATTCGATTTCAAGATTATCAATTTTCTTTGGTTTTCCGGGCCTATTTTTTGGAAACCATTTTTAACATAAAATTTTTTTGGGTTTTAAAGGGGTTTAAATGGGAATAAAAATAAAAATAAGCATGAACTGGATTTTGTGCTTTGTAAGTTCTTTAAAATTTTAAACATGTTTAACTTTTTTTACAGGATTTTTTTTTTGGGGATTTTTGAAGAAACAAATGGGGAAAAAAAAAAGAGGGGACAATGAATGTAAAGAACTTTTTTATATGGAATTTTCAATTTTTTCATCCCTTAAAGGGGAGAGCATATAGTCTAGCCTTGTGATCCTTCCCTTTAAAATGTTTGGTTGACTTTTTGTGCATACATAGTACAAAAGGGGGCTAAATGTTTTGGGTTTTAAAACTCCATTTTCCCTTTTATTTTTTTTGGGATTAAAAAAAGTTCAGGCTGAAAAAGGGGAAGGGCTTATAATAAATATCAAAAAAAAATCTATCGGAAAAAACCTCAGTAAAAACATCCGTCCGTCCATCAAGGATAAATTGAAAAATATTGAACGAATTTAAATTGAAAAGAGATAAGAGAAGGAAAAAGTATTGGTTAAGAACCAATATTCTACATTGCCTAAATATTTAATGAGATCTCTTAATAATGTTTAATAATGCATGCTGCACTTTTTATCTATTGCCTAATGCTTTCCATGTTAAGTAAAAACATACCTTAGAAGATTTTACATTTACCGTAATGATATAATGTAATTTAAGTTAAGTTAATGTCACTAGTGTAACAAATATAATATCTTGTTATTGACTCGATAATGTCTCACATGGTAAGTACTTTTATATGTCCTTTTGGTTCGAATTATTGGTCACTCTCATTTTGGTCAAGGTAAACTGAGATAACAAATAGTTGGTGTTTCAAGTTAATACTAAGATCACGGTCAAGGTCACCGGTGCTTAAAGGTAATTTTGAAACTTTTGCTTACAATGCCTCCGTTTATTGACTGATATCTTAAATATTTATTTGGCAAACTTTTGGTGAAGTAAGCCTTTATCGATGGCTTCCGCTTTTGAAAGGTAGATGCTTTGGGCAATCATTTTGTTAGAGTAGCAATGTTTATCTATGTGGCAATAAGTATTGTTTTAGATACTGTGAGAAAATGGCAGAAAGTTTTTATAGATAAAAATGATAGCATGTCTGAATTTTAAAGGGAATTTCAGAAGTCGAAAAATGCTTTAAACTTACATTCATTTGTAAATTCCAAGCAAGAGCTTCGTTTTTATTTATACATCGATCCGCAGGAAACGTTATTATCTATTTTATAGGATGGTGTTTGATAATAAACAACACGAAATATAAATACCCTGCTTCAGACAGAGATGGATCGGATAAAGATGAAGGTAGATAATGAACTTATAATTATTATTTTCAAAATAATGCTTTGACATTTAGATTAGAGTTAAGACTTTTTTCCTATCAATTTGCTACACTATGCTTTTTAATATTACGTTTGCTATTTTTAAATTAGCATAACTAGGTTAGTTATTGAAAGTGTCAATATTTAATAGAAATCAATTTAAAACGTGTAGAAGTGATGTAACAAGGATTTTATACATCAGTCAGCACACAACAATCTTTAGACGAAGACTCAGCTGCCGATCCTATTTTGAACTTGCAGCTGTGTACACAATTTTGTTATTTATCCATTCATTTCACAACATCACACTAGACATTTTTATTATTTCGAGTACAATTAGGATTGAATATAGATATTTTGAAAACGAAACTGAATTTACACAATTGGATCGAATAATGATTTTTATTTTAATCTTACATGGTGTAAACACTTTCGGTTAATTGATTACATTTCGAAGGTGTGATCTGAAAAAAACTTTATCATACACTACGAGTAACTTATTTTACTATTTCAGAACGTCTGGTTAAAGTATTCTCTAGACTAAAATTCAATGTAGATTCAGTAAAGGATACAAGTGGAACAGAGATGTATTCAATTTTGAAGAAATATGCTGAAATGGATCACACTCAGATGGATTGCTTTGTCTGCTGTATCTTATCGCATGGAAAAAAAGATGAAGTTGTTTGTTGCGACAATGAGTGTGTTAACATTGAAAACATTACTAGCTATTTTCGAGCGACAGATTGCAGAAGTCTTGCAGGAAAACCAAAAATATTTTTCTTTCAAGCGTGTCAGGGGAGTAAACGTATGGGTGGTGAGTTTTTGATCATTAACAATAGTTTAGTTAATGCTCGATATATCATACCAAATATAAACACTTCTTTCAAATTATCAACATAATGTTAAAACATCGACAAATTATTCAAATAAGCTATAACAGATCTTAATTAACGGCAGCTTATATGATTTAAAATTATATTTTTCGATGACTTTATATATTTCTTTTTATTAAGGACGTGAATAAATCGTTAAAATCTTTTCTAGGGAACAAATGATAAAGCATATAACTTACCATGTTGAATTTTTGTGTTATTTGATTTGATTTTATCCTTTATGAGATGCTCTAAAAACTGTATTCGGACTAACAAAGTGTTCTGTTTGTATTCAATACGATATAAATACATTATCATAAATGTTAAAGTACGTTGCAAACTTCAATAATGTATAGTTTGTGATTTTGAGCTCTTCCTTCATTGCCAACTGGTATACAAACTATCCAGCTATATTTTGTTTAAGATTAATTTATTTGTATAAACTGGGTTGGGTTTAAGTTCAACATAGTTTCCCTTTTACTTATAATATTTCCTCAAAGAACATGAAAGGTAAAGAGTTCAATTTGAAATGTATGTTGACCATCATAGGCAGGTAAGTCTTATAAGCAGTTTTGCAGAAAAATACCCTGTAACAAATAATACCATGTATTAAGTTTTTTGTCATATTATTAGTAACAGTTATACAAATGAATTTCGTTTGACACATACACAGGAGTTATTTTATAATATTTCAATATTAAATTTATAGTTTCCTGCTTGTGCAAAATTTCCTTTGACGAGAGACGTTGTAACTCTGTCATAATTCTTATTATTATTGAAGGCAGTGTTTCTGAAATATTGTATCAAATATTGTTATAATAACTAGGTTTGAATCTACATACCCAAATATCCTCACTCATTATGTATATTATATCAACTCATCTTATTTTCATTTCTAATCAAGCATCCCCTTGCACATTAACCCTTTGTTCTGACCAAACAAATTATTTTATAAGGGTGGCAAACAGACGGCGGTCATGATTGTGACAGTGAAAGGACGTTTAAAGAAGGATCGATTCCAGATGAAGCTGATTTTCTTCTCGGTTTTTCTACAACTTCTGGATACGTGTCTTTCAGACAGGGTGGAAAAGGATCGGTCTACATTCAAACGCTGTGCGAACAATTACAAAATCATGCACACCAGTAAGCACTAACGTTTAATAAATGTTGATTTACTAGTTATATTAGCTATTCCTCTTTCATTTAAAACTGAAAAGATTAAAGTTAGATATATATAGACTTATATACACAATTTCATCCAACCATTTGTCCGTTTTTTCATTTCTTCTTCCTTACCTATCTACCACCCTTCAATGCTTCCTCAATCAGCGCAACGTTAAAGATTAAATGTTAAGTACTGTTAAAATGCAATTATACTTCCGTAACAGAAACAAAACATAATGGATCAACAAAGATATGTTTCTTTTGGATATAAACCATTCAACATGATTTTATATAATTTGTGTACTATGTTTTTAGTCATCAATACTAGTTTTATTCACTGATTGCATTATAAATACATTGTCAACATCTGTGAGAAAGGCAATATAATTTCAACTTGGCCTCTAAGTCTTAGTCAATGTTTGTTCTTTCGACAACTATCCCTTTTTTGTCTCCCCGTGGATAAACTTCCGAAAAATATTATGAAAATGTCAGTACTAACATTTGGATCTTGTCATTACTTTAATTTTAAAATCGGGTGTTCTAATCAGATGCAGGTTGCGAGTGTGACCTATTATAAGACATCTTTTCGTAACAAAAAGGCAAGGCCATTGCAACTCAGTTTATTTTTATTGCCCAATTATATTGCGTTAAACTGTCCATTTCACAGGAGCACTGCTTTATCTACATATAAATCTTGTTTCTAATTACAAGCAACCTTCGGTATTGCGATGTCATGTAAAAGTATTTTACGGTCATTGTTTCCTCTTGTATTCATAATTATGTGTAGTTGTATTTTAAATACAGATATCATTCATTATGTTGGTCAATACATGTATACTTTGGTAATTAGGTTATAGAAATTGTGAAAATATGTTCACATTAAAAATACAGAAACCTGGTCAAATTTGCGCATAGGTATTTCTTACTGCTTACGTAATTTATCGTAGTAGACCAATAACTGATAATACGAGCGGTCATTTTTATAATTTGCAGACACTTAAATTTCTAAGCTTTTCACTTCTTATTTTTAAGTAATTTGACAGAGACACTTAACCTACCATATTTTATTTGTATTTCGTATACATAAAGGATGTAATCAATGATAATTTAGCCTCTTTATCCTTTTAACCATGTTTAATTTCTCCCCATTGTCTTTATTAAACAATTTATAAAATTTAACGAATTATAAACAAAATAGTTAATACCCCGCGTCAACAAATCCTATTAAAAATCGTGAGAGAAGACAAACCATCGGTCGATTAATAACTATTTTGATAACAACTTTTAACATATCAATTGTGTATTGTTTGCTTTACTCCTTTAATGCTTCCATTAGATTATTATTTTTTAAGTATCAATGACTACCCCGGAAGTAATATAAAAAACAAATATATATATTTATTCAAGTTTTTCTTTTGAAATGATTAGATCAGTGAAAGGACTATTAGTAGTGAACAATGCTCTCACCATTTAGGATTGTTTTGACTTACTATATATTAAGTGAATCTAAAGACATCTAAAATGACATTTTATGAAACGCAGCCCAGATTTATTTAATAAAATACAAAAGTCATTTATTGATATAGAGAAATTTAATTGTAAAACGTAGATAGCTTTCACACCATCTATAACAAACGGAAGTAATAGTTGGTGTATATCAGATGAAAAAATAGCAGTGAGTTTGTAACCATTTTTCATAAATGTAGTAAAACTTAAACAAGGTTGTTTTTAAATTCCTTACGACACTCTTATTCACGTTTAATTATTGCAATTGTAAACAAATAGTTCATCTATATGGGAAATGTGTACTTGTTTTGGAAATTGAAACAATTTAACGAAAATAAAAATGAAAGCTTTTGAGAGTCCTAGGCATGATAGGCATTCAAGAACTATGATTTGAAATACAGGCTTTCAACGGCCAAAGATGTCAAATATTCCCTTCAGCGCTCTGCTACAATACGTAAAAAGGAAACTTTTCAGTTTTTATCTTATTACGTTATGCGATAATATGTATGTTTTTTTTTTATTTGTCCTTTACATTTGTAACTTTTCTTCGGCATATATTGTCTGTTTCTTATATTTATAATTTACAGGTACGACCTTTTAACAATAATGACAGAAGTGCATAGAAAGGTTGCCAAGGAAGTCATTCAGGAAAATACAAAAACAGACCATCATAAACAAATGCCTGCTACACTTAATCGGCTAAGAAAACAATTTTATTTTAATGTAAAACAACTCAAAGATTGATGAAATAGATAAGGAGAACCTTACGCTGAACGATAGTCAAGACGATTTGTTTGCTGTGTCAGTTTACCTATTTTTGTGTATTCAATAGTTTATCAGTCTCGTCGATCATGCGCTCGTTTCTTGACAAATTTGATTCCTTTTAAATGTAAACTTTGATGTTATGTATTTTTGTGGTGTTGTTATTTTAGTGACAAAAGACTCGCGGAAAATAGTATGGCTCAAATAAACATGTCAGAGACAAAAGATTATATATATATATGTTAACACTTTTCATAGACTGTTGATAGTGAACAGATCCATTTGTATTCGTGCACAGTAGATCAATATTTCAAAATCAAAGTTTGGGTAAACTTAAAGTAGTTTTGTTATTAGGTATTTGTGTCATTTTTTATTATCTTAATGAAATAATTGATTTGAAAATAATTGGCCAAACATTTGTCACTTTATGATTTTCTTGACATTGAACTTAATGCTTCACGAATTCACGATTTCAACCTCATGAATTCACAATTTCAACCTCATGGATTCACGATTATAATTTCACGAATTCAACGTTGTGATTTCACGATTTGAACTTCACGAATTCACGATTACAACCCAATGAATTCACAATTTCAATTTCACGAATTCACGATTTCAACTTGACGAACTCATGAATTCAACTTCGCGAATTCACGATTTCACTTTGACGAACTCATGACTGCAACTTAAAAAAATCACGATTTCAACTTCATAAATTCAACTTCGCGAATTCATGATTTCAACTTCACGGAATGCATGGAAAACATTTTGGCAATTTAAAGCAGCATAGGTACAAAAGAAATAATCAAACAAGAACTCGATGCCGTCTTAATTTCTTTATTTATGTTAATATATTTAAAACGATTCTATTTAACCAAATTTTGTCTTCTGCAGATTCTTAATTCTGTTTATCAAATTTTAGTCTTCTATATTGAATACACATTTTGCATTTCCTTTTGATCTCTTCAAATCCCGGGGTATAAAATAACTCTATCTCTGGTGTCTTTAATCCGTCACGTTGATCTCTTTAGAAAACTGAAGCTTCACATGTTCTGTTCTTGAAATAACTTTGCTCAGGTTTTACATATATCGTATGCAGAGTAGCATTTTGGTCTTATGTGTTAAATGTATATCATATATCTCAAGTTAGAATAATAAGGGGCATTTTGTACATATACCTAAGAAAACACATGTATGTCAACCTGTGCTTATCTACGTGGATGATATGTTCATAAGTTATAGAACTTATTCAACTTACTTTCTTTGATTAAGAATGTCCCTTCGTGATCCGTGAGGGACGTGAATGGCCTTCCGATGACATTTCTTTATTATAATTTTCAGTCCAGTCGAAATATGTGTGATGCTCATAATTTTAAATCTCTTCCGTTTCGTTTTCGCCCTAAGGTTAACTACATCATGCTAAATCTATTTCAGATCTTCCTAGGAGGATAGGGATATCAGTATTATCTATCATGTTGACACGCCCGGCAAGCTGTCGCTCCACTTCAAAATTGTGATGTACGGTAAAAGGAGCGAACGGCATTTCCGAGATAGAGCGGAAGGCCGATTTAAACGGATAATTGTAAGTGTTGTTTATGTTTTTGTCTTGTTATTAATTTAAGTTGTAAGTTTTCGAAAAACGGAAAATGTAGTAAAAGCTTCAGAAGTTAAAATAAACAAGATAAAGTCAGAGGCTCGCATAATATGATTTTATTCAACTTGTTCAATAAAGTTAGTATTAAACTACACTCATTCAATATCCTCTATATATTTTTTTCGCTTCAAATTTTAGTACGTCTTTTTTAACTTTGAAAGATTTTATTTATAGACATTCGTAGTCTATACTCTTTATACCAACTTAATGTCGCCTTGCGCCCAAACAACCTTTGGCTCCACTACTTTCGAAAAAATCGATATACAAATTTAAGAAATCCACCAAGAATAGTTTATTTTGCACGGAAGACTAGCTCTTGTTACGGGTTACTATTGTTGTATTTTTTTTTTCAAAAAGATCCTAAGTGTAGAGCGTTTTCATGGTTTGAAGTTTAATATTTAACAAATTGTCGTTCACTTCGTCAGGGGGGGAAAGTTCTCCCAGGCTTGATATAATTTTCTTTTCGTAACAGCGTAGATCATTGGAAGCCTAAATCAATCCTACACGGATCTACATTTTCCGTTATTCGAAAAAACGCAACTTAAATGAATAACAAGACAAAAACATAAACAACACTTACAATTATCCGTTTAAATCGGCCTTCCGCTCTATCTCCGAAATGCCGTTCGCTCGTTTTACAGTACACCATAATTTGAAGAGGAGCGACTTTTTGCCGGGTGTGGTTGACTTATACTTAAATTCAAACACCTTGTTGATTGTCTATATTTCACGTCAATTCAGATAGGAACTGTCCCTGTTCAAAACCAAGGAAACATAAAGTTCTTAAATGTTTTTTTTTCGTTTATACATGCTTTATTGTGTTGTTTTGTGTTTGGTTGTTTTTGTTTTATTTTTTGTTTGTTTTGTTTTGTTTAAAATCACTCATGTCAGACATAAAAGTCTTGTTCATATTTTTAACCAATTGTATTTAGAAGAATGATTCATAATTAGTTTCATTTTCATCTGTCTAAATTATATGACTTTGTTGTTTTTTTTTAGTCATTTTTTTGTTTGTTTAGATATAAAAAACTGATTTATGTGTATTTTTATGAATATATTTGTAACATAAAATGTAAAAATAAATGTATTCAGAATGACCTATCGGTATGTTAAGCCTGCTAAACTATGAATAAAATTGATGTTTTATATCCCCAATCAAATACTTGTCAAAGGTGTAAACTAAAATTAGCTTAAATATTATGGACACTCAGGAGTTTTTGCCCGGTACATAGTTCTCATAAGGAACGTAAGTGCTAAAAAAACCTTACCTAATATTTTTCATTATAAAAAAATATCCAAAGCATAACAAGAAAGGTATTTGAACCTTTATAGCTGGCTGACTTTGGACTTATTGTCATTTTTAATTCTTTATTCATTCAATTTTATCAAGCTTTGTTATATGCTAGGTGTTTTTTTTTAATGATAGTTTATTACCTTGAAAGTGAATTGCGTATGTACAAATTGATTGCTAAACGGATAAAACCCTACATTTAATAGAAATATAATATTTCATTCTGATTTTTTTTATTCTCTTTGAGTGCAATATAAACGTGTGGTAAATAATAGAGTCATTCTACATTAGGTTTCGAACATCAACCATCATATTAAGGAAACAATATACTTTTGCTGTTGATTAAATTTATTAAAAATATTTCAAAAGATATAGTTTTATACCCATTTAGTTTTGTAACATTTACGGTATAAATTATAAAACATTGAAGGTATCAACATGAAACTTAATAAAAAATCCTTTTGAATAGAAGTGCTTTGCAATCAGCCATAATATTTGTATGTGTTTAAATTCTTAGTTATTTCTCATTGTAATATCTTCCAGAACACACATGTTTTATGTAGACAATATTATCTATTACGTTAAACATACAATTTCATTTGTATTTGTGTATTGACATAATCTAGAACCTACTGCATTAGTGCTTATCTAACCACACATTTTAAGGCACATTTTGCCGCAGGAACGAGTAAACTTTCAATTCTCCGAGTTGGATATTTGTAATTATCAGAATGCTCTAAACATGAAATAATTTGACATTGATTTAGCAAAGTGTAAACAAAGTAATATTTTGATTTCCGTTCAGAATCCTGATACACTATCACTTTACTAATTGCCAAACAAAAGAGGGAGAAAATGATATTGAAATTGGCCAATGAGAAACCTTTTGGAAAAATAATAGTATACAAAAAAGCTTTTGTGAAATCAAAACAAATGCTTTCTAAGGGTTAATGCGCCTTAAAATAATTATGTTTTTCTTGCATAACTTCTATGAATAATTGACTATGATCTATATTGCTAGGTTATCATATCTGATTATAAGTGAATGTACTGTAACCAGCATGAATTGTCGCAATTTCGCTAGAAATGAAATGAAGTTTGTGTTCTGCTGACAAAACAGTATGAATGAATGCATATAATTTTATAATTTAACTTGTAATTATATATTTCTGTACACATTTTGCTTGTTTCCTAAGGATTATTACATATTGTAGTAGGTAAATTGTGTGTAATTACTTTTTTCGTACGTGTGTTAACCTCAACTTAATGTAATGCTATGATGTCACTAGCAGAAATCTATTTTTAACATACAAATACAAAAGATTTTGAAAGATTCTAAATCACTGTTATATCGTGTAGCAAATAAATATACCACGGCATGTATCCAGATCACAAGGGCTTGGTGATAATGCGTGTCTCTGGTGAAAATAACATGTTCAAAATATAGTAAATTTAAAATATAATAGAATTTCTATTATTATCCAATCCCGTTTTCAAATAAATTTGTTTTAGAATCTATGCAAAAATTAGCAATAAAACACGGATTTCGTTTATGCAGAGTCCCAGCATCGTGGTGAATTTCACCATGGAAACTAAAAATTGCAACTTCAAAGTAAAGCCAGCATTTGTGAATCTTCTGAAACAGTTCGACCTAAAATCATATATGCAGAACAGTTTGACCATTTAATATATGTAGAAATTTTCACGCTTCCTGCACTATTGCCTGTTTTCTCTTCAAGCCCTGATGATGTGGATAAATGCAGAAAAAAGTTGATGACAATTTCTCATATTTTATGTAAAAGATCAAATCGAGTTTGTGTACAAATATAAAAGTGTTGGTCTATCATTTGTATTTGTTTAATGTTTACCAGCATTGGAATTTATAAAGCTGAAACTAGACTAATTATTGATATGCTTACTTTTTATAATGAATAGTTTACTTGCAGGAATATCTCTTGTGTTTTCATTTTCAATTTAAGTACTATTTGTTTTTTGTTTGTAAAATATTTATTGATTTGATCATACGATGACAGAATATTTCAATTAATGAATCATAGCATACAATGTGGTTATTTTGCTTAGAAAGTGGTGACGGACTCATTCATTATTTGTTTTATTCAAAATATGATTATTTTCTGCACTTTTTTTTACAGTAATATAATAATTATACAGAGTTAAATAAATATATAACAAATTTACTTTTTTTTAAATTTCCCTTACCCTTTACATTACAAATTTAGCTTCAATAGCTCAAATGTTTATTCAATAGTAATTTAATATTTAATGTTGGAACAGCTGGTATTTAGTGCAATTATAGATATATCAAATTTGCCATTGCAATTCTGACAAGGCAATGTAACAGGATCATGCATCTCAAACTGCAATCTATTTAAGCCATGACAATTTGTTATTAGAGCCCTGGTTTTTAAAATCATTTAACAAATCACGGATTTGTCATACTCAGATGGGACAAAGATGACATGATTAATGATAAGATTTTGTTGATAAATTTTCAGGTCCTTGTCACTTGATCACAAAATGTTCTTTTTTTTATTTCTGTAAAGAACTACATAAGAAATTCCATTAAGTTCTAATATTTAATATATAAGGACATTTAAATAAATAAAAAATATTTTGGAAATGTCTGCATTCTGAAAACATTATTACACAAATCATTAAAATAGTATCAATTACAAAAACTTCAGGTCATTATACATTGTTAAGACATGATATGGAATAAAACGAGGCTAAGCGGAGCTCAATGGTGATATAATATTAGATATGGAAAAATGAACAATAAGCTAAACTGAGTGAGTAAAACATTGATTTAATATGAAGTTTTTGAACTCGAGGCATGAAGTCTAAAATGATAAGATTGCATTTATTTAAATGAATTATGATAATATTGGGAAATAACAGACTGAGGTGAAATTTCATTAGTTACATTGTACTTAACAAATATATTTATAAAATAAATGATTTAGATGTGTTAAATCAATTGATGAAATGAAGCGGTTTACAAAATTCAAAGTTATTTTTATTCGTTTGGCTCCCATGAAATACATGAGAACTAATGTGTGGCGCCGTTATATGTCGCAACGCCGCTTAATGTCGCACTTGCCGCTATATGTCGCACCATTGCCGCTAAATGTCGCAACGGCCGCTAAATGTCGCAAAATCAGTTACCGTTAAACGTTAAATGTCGCACGGATTTCTCCTTCCGTTAAATGTCGCAAAACTATCGTTAAATGTCGCAAGATGTTGAACTTGAGTTTTATTATTGTATTATATCAATTAAATATGCCTACTATAGACGAATTACCACGCCCCTTTAACTCACAACGAGTGAAAAATGTCCATCGGTTAAAATGTTGTGAGCAACTTCCGTTCCTCGTTGTGAGCACCCATCTTTGACGAGTGACACGATAAACAAGATGAGTTTTGCATAATTTTTGAAGATTACAGACATTTATGTAAAAATATTGGAATGCAGTTAGCTAGCGATATGTTTTCCGAGTATGCACGTGTAAAGATATTGCCTGTTGGTGGACAATTTGATGGAAATACCATGCGA